TGCGATGAACGCTACGAATGCACTCATATTTGCACGCATGCCCATATTGGTGCTGCGGTGGTAGAAGTGAATCTTGCTTCGCGTCGGAACTGCAACGCGCCCGGTTTGAACACCATCGGAATAGATTTTATTTATGTTACTTGATGGTCGCAAGTACCTTGCCTGACTGTGGGGGAATGGACTTGGATGACGAGGCCTTCTACGACGCGGTGATCTCTGCCTCTGGGATGAAGGTGAAAGAAAACATCCGGACCAACTTTGTATCATCTAGGCATTCCTGACAGGATCGTCAAGATTGTTTCCGGATATTGGGTTTAACCGCTGGAGCTGGGCTGGAGGAAATCAAGACAGCATACAGACGACTAGCCAGGAGGTGGCATCCTGATAAATACGATGGCCATAGGTAATAACACAGTGGTCTTGGTCCACGGAGAGGACCACATCAACAGCCTCGAAGGGTGTCCATGGACTTCATTTGCGATGTATTCACCACCAGATAGTTGCCGCATGAGAACGATTAGTCAATAACCTCGCCTATAGTTAGTGTTGTGACTTATTGTGGACACCACTGTTATTATGATAATCTTTTCTCAGAGACGCTAACACAGTATTCCAGCACGTGAACGAGGCATATTCCGTTCTCACCAAAAAGCGTAGTACTCATTCCTACTATCCTGATGAGTACAAGAAGTCGGACTTAAGCCAATGGCTGGATCAGTCTTGGGATTGGCAGTCTCAGAGGGAGAGGCAAAATTGGGAAAAGAACGGCCGAACGGTGGTGGTCCGGTAGTTGAACCATGAGAGATCCCATCATATTGGCTTACAATTTGTAGCAGGTATCTTACTTATGATGGACAGTGGGATGTAGAGGAGTTCAAGAGAAATACCAAAGGATTGTTCTACGCACATGGGGTAAGTACGAGCATACTACAGCGGGGGGGGAGGGGCTTAATGGCCAGAGCCATCAGTCAGCCCCCGGCGGATCCGATTGAGTAGATGGCTAGACTTTCGTGTTCAATGAGGTCGAGCTGGAGTATCCAGCAACAGGGATCTTATCTCTGCATCCTCGGGGAAAAGCGACAATCGAACGTGTTATAAGTCCGTTCACTTGTGGTATTCAAGAGCTGCTTGCCCCAGTATATCGACGCTTGCACTGACGTCTCTAAACCATAAGGCTGCTATATATTCCTGGCCTTGCTTAGGTGGAGCTGGGCAAGCTGGACATCAGTGCCACCTACCTGTGGTGGAGGTTTGAGAGTGGTGTCGCTGGCTTCGAGATGGATGCTTTGACTGGTAGGGTATCTATTGATTGGCTACTGTCTACTACTACTGCTTTCAGGACTCGCACGATTGTATGCGTCTGATATAAGGAGGCTGTCGAACCTGGGTATTCGTCTGAACCAACGGTTTGAGGGCATCTTCGAGGTTGTGAAGGATCAGGAGGCAGCGGCCGAGACTTGGAATGATCGTATGCGGGAGAGGGCTCGTGCGGAGGAATCGACATCCAGTAGCTCGGGTAGTCCGAATGCTGGGGACCCTAGCAGTGAGAGCTAC